GGGGGGCCGGGCGCCCCCACCAGGAGGCCGCCAGGTGCCCACCTGAGCCCGACGCCCTGCGCCACTTGGCCCTTTGGGGGCGCGGTGCCAGCTCCGAGGTACCCGCCCACGTGTTAGAGTCTGGGAAACTGAACCGGGACCGACCCCGCCACCCCTGCAGGAATGATGTGGGGGGCCTCATCCCCTCTCTACATCTTTGCGGGATCCGGTTCTGGAGGTTCACCGGGACCTGCCAATCCATGCAACCAAAGCTTCATGAAAAGTGGGTGCCGCTGTGTGCCGGCGCCTCACCTCCCTTGCGTCACGTCTCAGTTGAAACCTCAGACTACTCTGGGCCAAGCCCAAACCAAGCCCACTGCTGGGGAGTTGATTCCGGCTCACAGCGAGCCTGTGGGACAGAGCAGAATTGCCCCATAGGGTTTCCAAGGCCGGAAATCTGCCACCTCGCTCTCACGCAGAGCGTTTGACTTTTCTGCCAGCAGCCAAGCACGTAACCGCTGCCCTACCAGGGGTCTTTTATTTGGGGCTTGATAGGTGCAATTATTTCCGTTTTACAGAGAAAAAACGGGGGCCCAGCCATGCACAACTCCCCCCGCCCCCGACCAACCCAGATGCCTGGCCCTGGACAGACCCTGTAAGTGCATATGGACCATTTTACAGATGGAGAAAATGAGGTATAGAGAGATGTCATCTGCCTAAAATCACCCTCCAGTGGCTAGGAGAGCCAGGATTTGAACCCAGATCTTCTGACTCCATAATCCTTAACGGCAATTAGGAAAGGTGGCTGACAACGTGTATATATATCTGAGCCTCAGTTTTGCCATCTTAATATGGTAAGAGTTGTCTTAGAGGTTCTTCATGTGAGATACAGGGATGGGCTCGCACACAAGTGTATACACATGTATACACGTGTTTGATGTCAGTGATGCATGTTTTATGTGTATGTGAAGGAATGTGATATATGATATGTGTTGCATGTGTGATGTATGTGCATTGTATGCGTGACGTGTGTGCATCATATGTGTGATGAATACATGTGATATGTGCATGATGAGTGAGTGTGTGTGATGCCTGTATGCATGTGTGTGATGTGGGTGAGAAGTGTGTGATGTGTGTGACTCCTGTGTACACGTGTTATGTGTGCATGATGAGTGTGATGTGTGTGATGCATGTGTACTACCTGTGTGCATGTGTGTCATGTGTACATCTGTGATAGGAGTGACAGCTTGTGTGGAGGGTCCACAGCTCTCAAGAGAGGGGACCCAAACGAAAATAAACAAACCCGCTGCCATTGAGACGATTCTGACTCACAGCAACCCTGTTAGGTTTCCAAAGCTGTAAATCGTTACAGAAGCAGACTGCCCCATCCTCCCTCCCCGGAGCGGCTGGTGGGTTCAACCACTGATCTTTTGGTTAGCAGCCCAATCCCTTAACCACAGTGCCACCAGAGCCCTTTAGAGATGACCCAGAATCCCCAAAAGGAAAGGATGGTCTCCAACCTCCTTTCTGTGGAGATTGACACGCAGTGGGCCATCCTGAGTGCCTGGATGTGTAGGCTCCTGCAGTGGCTGTCCAAGGGGCCAGGTGGTAGGAGCTGGATTCAACCCCTGTCTCTGCTTTCTTAGCCCCCTGGGCAAGTCCTGCCCCTCTCCAAGCCTCAGGTTCTATTCTGGGAGGAGGACAGTTGCATCCTCCTTACGAGGGTGTGGCCAGGAATGAGATATCAAATGATCCCCCAACACACCGTGTCCCTGTGTACATGACCCCCAAGAGCTCCCCACCTCCTCCATGACATCGGCCCAGTGCTAACTTTACCGTCTTGGGGAGCTGTCCCCTTCCATTCCTTGCTCAATGTTTGACACCTACTATGTGCCATCTTCTGACCCCCAAGAAATGCCCCTTCATGCCTCTCTGGTTGTCTAGTGAAGGGCCATTCCCAGGAGCATGGTGGGGCCTGTCTGAGGACTGAGTGGAGGTGCTGGCATCAAAAACCATCACCCCAGAAGCACAACATGGTGAATGTAACTAGTGCCGCTGAATCGCACACTTAAATGGTTAAAATGGCAAGCCTTTTGTTGGATGTAAGGAGCTCTGGTGGCGTAGTGCCTAAGGCATTTGACTGCTAACCAGAAGGTTGGCGGTTCAAACCCACCAGCCATTCCTCAGAAGGAAGAATGGGCAATCTACTTCTGTAAAGATTTACCACCTTGGAAACCCAGAAGGGGTCACTAGGAGTTGGAATCGACTCAATGACAGTGAGGTTGTTTTTTTTGTTGTTGTTGTATGTATTAATATGTATTAATGCAATATGTTGTTGTTGTTGTTATGTGCCGTTGAGTCGGCCCCGACTCATAGCGACCCCTCCTTGGGTTTTCGAGGCAGTATCACTACGGAAGTAGGATTGCCCAACCTTCCTTCCGAGGAGTGGCTGGTGGGTTTGAACCGCCAGCCGTCTGGTTAGCAGGCAAGTGACTTAGCCACTCGTAATACAATAAAGCCACAATGAAAAAAAAATTACTCTCTTCAAGATCAGGGGCCAATAAACTGTGGCCAGTGGACCAAATCTGGCCTGCAGCCTATCATTGCAAATAAAGTTTTATTGGGATACAAAACAAGACAAAGGCATCACTCCAAGGGGCCACTTTGAAAGGGAGGTAACTTTCTGGGAAGTAGAAGTGCTGGGCAGTGGCTTCTATCCTGGGGGTGGGTAGCGCTCGGAGAGTTTCTGGAACCCCTTTGCAATATGTCTGAGAGGTTCATACCTACATACAAATTCCTTCACTAGTGCCACCAAGCTCATGGGAGCTTTCAGCCACTGTGAGATTTCTCCAGCAAAGGGACCCTCTCAGTAGATGTGATTATGGACGTTTTGACTTCAGAGAGAGTCTTGTTCTTGCCTCAGCCTAGGTGTTTGTTAATTTATAATTATAGCCAGATCTGTGGGAGTGCTATCTGGTGGTTATTGTACAAACTCAGCTCCTCACAGGCCTGGGTGTCAAAATCTGAGCAACCACCTAGATGCTGTGTGGCCCAGAACAACTCACTTCCCCTCTCTGAGCCTCATTTCCTTGTCTGAGAAAAATGAGCCACTGGGCCTTTAAAAGATCCCTTCTGGCGCAAGAGTCTGTACTTCTGTGGGAAAGTGGGGAAGTGTCAGATGGCCCTTGGTGGTCCTGGGCACAGCCTGCAGCCCCCTGTAAGGGTACACTTTCCTGGTGGCATTCAGTCTGCTTTCCAGTCCTCAGCTTCTTCCCTCCCAGAGTGGAGAGCAGGAAATGCTCTGAGGGCCTGGGTTTTGGTCATTTGAGGTTTCAGTGTTTGCCAGAGAAGGGGACGAGAGGGACTGGCTGGCTGGCTCAAGGTCTCAGAGCCTGTCCCTGTGGGCGGCGCCTCCTCCCTGGGGGCCTGGTCTGTGCTGCTGCCAAGACCAGACCACGACCGCCAATAAAGACAGCAGCTTCCGTTTCCTGAGCGCTGACCCTGTGCCAGGCGCTGTGCTAAGCACTTTGCTTGCATTGTCTCCATCCCTCCTCTCTGCTACCCAGGAGGCAGTCCTTATTGTCCCCAGGTGTGGGCTCAGGGGGAGGAAGGGCTCGCCTAAGTGTCCAGGGTGAGTGAGCGAGGATGTCCCCCTGTGCACTTGCCCAGCAGGCCACACTGCCCCCCGCCGGCGGGGCCCCTCAGCCAGGACTTCTTTGAGAGAAGAGAGATCTTTGCTCAGATTTAGGTGGGTATTAGTGTTTTCTAGGGAACTCTGGTGGCACTGTGGTTAAAGCATTTGGCTGCTAACCAAAAGGTTGGTGGTTCAAACCCATCAGCCGTTCCATGGGAGAAAGATGAGGCAGTCTGTTTCCATAAAGATTTACAGCCTTAGAAACCATATGGGGCAGTTCTACTCTGTCCTATAGGGTCATTATGAGTCGAAATCGACTCAATGGCAGTGAGTTTGGTTGGTTTGGTACCATTTTCTGAGAGAACGTGTGGACACACACACAGACTGGGGCCACACATGTGTGGGCTGCACAAGGTCATGAACTCAGACACACACACACACACACACACTGTCAGGTCCGGGAACCACAGCCCCTTCTGCTGCAGAGTCACGGACACATCCATCCTGGCCCAGTCCAAACAGGACATGCTTTCCTCTTCACAGCAAATAAACCTGGGCCACAGCCTCCTTCCCTGTGAACTTCCACGGGGGCTGGAGCTAAGGGCCTCTTTCCTCCCATGGCCGGTGGCTCTCTCCTCCACACTGAACACGAGCACAGCCTCCCAGCTTGGGGCTGCCCACACTTTCAGCCCTGTGAGCCTCAGGCACTCCCATCTGATAGGTGCCAAGATGATGTCCATTCTAAAGGTAAGGAAGAGCCCATGGTGGGGTGATGGGGCCCACAGCCCTTGGTAGCAACTCCTAGGGGGCCCCAGGGGCCTGGGCGTGATGGCTGCTAGAGCGGCGCCTGGATGCCATGAAAGGGAAGGGGCGCTGGACACAGCAGCCTCCTTCAAAGCTGCAGCCCAGACAAAGGGCAGGGCTGGAGGGCCGGCCTTCCCCAGGCGCTTCCAGGTTAGGGAACAATGCCCACTCTCTGTGCCTTTGATCCAGGGGCCTGGCTCTACTGCCCCTTAGACTCAGAACAGGGGACACCCTGCTGGGCCTGGGCGGAGGCTCTAGGGGACACGGACAGACTGCAGCTGCCTGGCAGAGTAATTTATGGTCCATGGAGCTGCCCTTGTCACCCAGCTCATTCCTTC